TTTCGTTTGAATTCGCGCTCTCATAATAGATAGCGCTCTAATAACAGGTAGCGTCACCTGTTGGATGCACTAGGTGCATCACATAATATATTTCTAGGGAATATTTATATATGAAAAATTTGTCTATTTAAAAATATATCCACGAAGCCTAGATAGAAGGAGAACGATCGGCATAGGCTTTCTCGCCGTATTTGCGTCCGTAATAATGAGGAAACATCGGGTACAATATTTGTCCGCAAGGCAGCGGTAGTGTTAGAAAGTTCTGATTTTTAGAACATGTTTTAATGTAAACATTAGATTGTGTTATTGAATGTTGTTGTTGTCATAGTTAACAAATAAGCGTTTTATAAAATTCAAAATGGTTAAAAATTGTGCTGTGGTGAATTGTAAAAACAGTAAAAATAATAAAAAATGTAAAAAAGATTTACAACAGGATAAAAACTCCTTATTTAAGCTGCCAAAAGTAAGTATAACCCCAAAATTTGTAATTTCATTGATAAAATTATAAGATTTATAATTATATTTATTAATGTTTATTAATTATTAAGTACATTCCCATTTGGTAAAGAACAAAAATTTTAATATCATATATGACATTTAAAAAAATTAATCACTATAGGCGCAAGTTGCAGCAGAGAAGTGTCTATGATTGAAACTTATAATTTTATTATCAATGCAATTTAATCATTATCATTAATAGTCTTGTATATTGAAATTGATATTTTGATAAGTAATTAGAAAATTTCTTTTTCTTTGGTAGGACCCTGATATTGTTAGACAATGGAGTCAAATTTTGGGACAAGATTTAGTGTTAGATTCGAAAATTGACATTTTTATTTGTGATTTGCATTTTGAAGAAGAATATATTCTTCGGAAAGATATTATTATTATTCCTAATCAAGAACCGTTTGTGTCTGAACGAAAGAAAATAATACTCAAACCTGGTGCCATCCCAACATTACATAAAAATATTAACTCAACAATACCTGTTACAAATATTTCTGTAAATGCCAATACAAACGTAAGAAGTCAATTGAAAATTATATCTACGTAAATCAAAATTTCAGCTGTTAAGTATTAATTACTGTTTTTAATATCATCGATATTATTAATTTCACAGGAAAATGATATATTACATTCAAGTCAAATATTGCATGATTATGAATGCATAGAAGTCAATGAGGTTTTTGATGACAATTCAGTTGAACCTAATAATATTGGACAAGTATGACTAGAATTATTTATAATGTAATGAAGTATGGTAATCGATCGGGAAACTATAAATTATTGGAGCAAGTATTGAAATATTTTCTATGTAAAATTATAAATCGGTGCTAATATTAATAGTATTCGTTGTTTTTTTTTTATAATAATTAAAATGTCAACTTGTTACCTATTATTAATGTACATTATTCCAATTTTTTCTCTTATATAAAAGATTTAATAGTTACATTGAAATAAAACTTGAAATATTTCTATCATTAATGTTGTTAATATTGTTTACTAATCGATTACGACTCTAATAATTGAGCAAATCCGTGAATATAATATTTTTGATTTTCTTTTTAATTCAATTTTTTTTATATGTTTGTAGACTAGCCACAATGATCCCGAGTTAACTGCAATCAATTCAGAATTTTCAATTCAAGAATTGATAAAGAATTTAGAAATATGTAAGTTACCAAAAAAATGGAGCTGGGTTGATGACCATCTCGATTTACCGGCAGTAATTCTTTGTTGCTTGGATTACATATCGTATGATGTAAAGATTCGTGTAAAAATCAATAAGACTCTTAATATACTTGTAAGAAATTTTTATATTTTTTTGAATGACTTACTGGATATAGCTAAATGTATATATTTGCAGGTAACTAATGTTAAACTTAATAAATCAACAAATAGTGATTATATACTTAGTAGTATGGAAAGCTTTTGGACATTTTTAAAAGATTTGGAGACTTCTCAAATGTGTAGCGGCACAGGATTTGATAGTCAGAAGTACTTATAACATAAACCTTTCTTCTAATTAAAATTTCTTCTATTTTTAGCATATTCTATTCAAAATAATTTGTTATTATTATGATAGGTCATCAGAAACATGCATAGTATTTTTGAAAGCTGATCAACAATATAAAAAACAGGCGGGAATATATAGATGTGATGCATGTAAACAAGTAAGAAAAAAATTGCATAATCAATTGTACCGACCTAAACTAGAGGTCCATGATTGTAACAAAAAACTCAAGCTTAAGCTAAATTCAGTCAAGAAAAAGTGTAGTCGTCTCAGTAATAAAAATGCCACTTTGAAACAAACTATCGAGGAAGAAAGACAAAAGTGTGCTAACGCATCTAAAACAGTTATAGAGAAAGAAATTCTTAATCTACCGCCTATCCAACAAGAGAACGTTAGAGCGTGTTTTGCAGCAGCTAAACTCCAAAATTCAAAACAAAGAAGATATACAGTCGAGTGGGTATATGAGTGTCTTTTAATCAGAATAAAAAGTGCTGCTGTTTACGAACGGCTGAGATCTAGACAAATTTTACCCCTTCCTTGCAAGGATACCCTTCAAAAATATATCCAAAAATTAGATAGCGCATTCGGTTTTTCGGAAGCTCTTTTTGAAACCCTTAAATTGAAAGGTTCTCGAATGGAAGTAAATACGAAGAGGGGTATTTCACATATAATCTCTTGTTAGTGTGTTGCAGCGAATCGTAGGATTAACATTTATTATTTAACACAATTGTAAGGTAGCAACTAAAACCTCCATTGCTTAAATATTGAGATTTTCGCAATAATTAATCCGCTTATCACAGAATAGCCGCTAGTATATTTAACTCTGTAATGATTAAGTTCTTTTACTGTAGTCAAATTCGCTTTTTAACCCATTCTATTTTGCTGAACTTTGTTATTAATCTACTCTCTGTTATTATCTATTGTAGTTATATCTTTTTAGTCTTCTCATGAGCTTTGTGAACGCTAATATGATGATAATTTGGATTATAGGTATACTGATTCGTTTTTATTTACTTTTTAGGTACTTTGCTACTCGATGAAGTTGCGTTAAGCGAAACTATTAAATTGAATCAACGAACTATGAAGCTTGACGGTTTCGTTGATTTAGGATCTTACACGCCGGAAGCGGATTTAAATACTAGAGCTGATCATGCTCTAGTATTTATGTTTCAACCCTTTCAGGGGGATTGGGTGCAGGTCATAGGTTGTTTCCTGAGTCGCAGTGCAACCGTCAGCGAAATATTACACAAATTAATAATAGAGTGCATATTATTATTGGAAAACGCAGGATTTCAAGTTGACGCTGTAACCTGTGATGGAGCCCAGTGGAACCGTGGCGCGTGGAAGTTATTCGGAATTGAGGACTATAAATTTAGCTGCGAACATCCATATGATTATAGTAGACGTTTATGGTTCCTATCCGATTTTTCGCACTTGCTAAAAAATTTTAGAAATAAGATTATGGAAGTGCCATCATTTTGGGTAAAATTTTTACATATATACATTGATACAAATTTTTTCACTTGGATATTTACTTTACTGATTTTTATTTGCAGACTCCGGATGGTTATGTATACCGCAAACACTGGGAAGCTCTTTTAGCTTATGAAAATAGCTTCAAAGCTAATTTATCAGTAACCTACAAACTAACACCTGGTCACATCAAGCCTGAACAGTACCAGAAAATGAATGTGCTTTTGGCTGTAGAGGTAAATCGAGCTTTCGTAATTTTTAAATTATCTTTCAAAAAATGTTTTTTCTATAGTTATTTGCAAAACGATTAAGAGTGGCTATGGAGATATACGAAAGCGAATGTTCTGAGTTAAAAGGTTGTAAATCTACGATAGCATTCATGGAAAGAGTTGATCGTTTGATAACGGCTATGACTTCACGAATTCCAGAGCATGCTTTACGCCCTGACGTTTCATGTAAAATGAGACAGGTATGTTTTATTCCTTAAAAAAAAGTTATTCTGTTGATACAGATTTTTTAGTGAGTCGCCAAAACCAGCCCAAAAGTAATATAACACAAACAAGTGATCATGGCATCACTATTCAACATATTCTTGGCGCAAAAATAATAAGTGTAAGTAAATCATACGAAAATTGCGAAGGCCTAAAGAAAAACTGCTATGCATAGTTTAGTAATTTGTGCTTGTGTTTCGCCTTCTTTCTATTACACATCAATTACACAATGCAATTAGCTGTATCATTGATATGGTGTTGACTATTATTTCAAAGGTCTAGTCTTCAAGCGATACAGCTATATGGAGTTTGACTTCATATTGAGTAATCATTATTTGTCTATTTTAATTCATAATATACTTCATTTAATACTTTCGATTCAAATCATTCATTGATAAACTTTTTCCTATGCTTATTATCCTAATAGTATTACTTACAGGTTTGCAAAAATTTGTTAGTTTAATAAATTCTACACTTTTATTCACTTTGTTTATTGACAACTGCATAATATTAACAAAGGTATTAATCACGTTTGCATTTTGAACAATTATTATCCTTATAACTAATAACATTAATTGGTTTTTTTCATCATCTCTCAAACAAAAACTTTTCAAAGTTTTCGCGTTTATTCATCACAACATTTTTACCGGTAGGCTATCACTGATTTCATCGAATATTTACGTGAGTGGGAAGAAAAATCAAAGGAAGAAAAACAGAAATATAAAGAACTGAAAAAACATTTAGATGAAGACCAACTACCGGGCAAATTTTTTTTTGCTATAACTGCAAGCACATTAGCTGGGTTCAAAATCTCACTTGGAGCTACTTTAGAACTTGCTGATTTCTTACATACTCAATGTAACTATGATTATCTGATGACAATACGTCTTACTCAGGATGCCTTAGAGGTAAGCGTTTTTTCACAACATTTTTTTTATTTGTTCGTTAATTTTACTCGTTACATAATAATTTCCAGAAACTTTTTGGGATCATGAGAAACGCCTGTGGATGTAACGATCACCCAGACGTAATATTGTTTGGCCAAGTATATCGTTTACTTTGTTCATATTCTTTAGCGACTCCACCTAGAGGATCTAATGTAACTGCTGGCGAACTGTTGCAATCTTTGATGCAAACCAAAGACTCTTTGGCATTAGCTTCTGTTCCTAAAAATGAATGGCTCCAAAAACTTGACGCGATTGTTGAGAAAGGCATTTGTGGCGAAGTTTCTGAAGAACCAAACAGCAATGGTATTATTGATAATGAAATTTCTTCTCCAAATCTACTTCATGATGCGGGCTTGTTGGATGAAGAACTGAATAATCACGATATATCATCTAATAATTACACAGATACAACTAATATAGATGAAAAAGTAACTGGTCTAGGTGATAAAGAGTTTTGTCGAAAGCCGTTTGAAAGTTTGGTCGATGAAAGTGACAGCGACGATGATGATACATATCAATGCCAAGATCCTTATCTCGATCATGATTACGACATAATGAAAACTAGCGACGAAGTGGTTGCATATATTGCTGGATACATGGTTAGAAAAACTAGCCGCTATACCAAGTGCTTCACATGTGTAGACACTTTACAATCTACTAATAAAGCTTCAAGTGGCCGAGATAGGTTTATTGAGCTGATGAGTGAAGGTGCTTTAATCTATCCAAGTGAAAACTTATTTTTATTAATTAAAACTCTTGAAGAAGATGTGTTAAAAGTTGCAGGAACCAAAACTATTAAATGCAATACAATGCATCAAATCCTTGATCAAATAGCTTTACGCGATGCGCTTCCCAAAGTTGGTTGCCCTGATCACACTAAGCAATTAACGATAAAGGTCATTAATTATTTTATTGTCATGCGAGGTCATTTTCTTACTAAATTATTTAACAAAAACATGAGCCAACGAAGAGCTCTCACTAGAAAGCACCGAAAATCCGCGAAGTTAACGTGATTAGTAGTTTAAAAAAACCTATTTATTGATTACGAATTAAATTATTACTTATTTATAATTTTGTTTTTCTTGTAAAAGTTTATTAAAAATCTAACTGTGTTAATACTATTAAAATACAATTAATAAAATATATATTTTTCTTGAAACCTAATTAACTACTTCATTTTTTTTTATAATCTTCGATTAATTCTTTCACAGCCCATCAGGTAATTATTTATTATTCATTGTAAGACTTCATACTATTATTGTGTGTATATTTATATATTTATGATAAGAAATTTTTTAAACTCGACTTTACAGCTTCAAAAATAATTCTGTTAATATTTGTCAACATTTTCATTTTGGTTATTATTACTTTTTAAATTACTGTTATATTTTTCTACACGATATCAATTTAATATAACATTGATTGTTATAAATATTAAATTATTATTTGTTTGCTAATTCCCAGTTATTATTAACTTCTTCTTGGTATTATTTTCGATAAATATTAAATATACGTATTTTTTTTCAATAATTAATGATCAAAATTTATTATTAATAATTATTTTTTACCATTTATTATTTGTCTTCAATTTTTCATTAATTAATTTTCTAAGGAACAATTATACTGTTTCAAATATCCGACCTGTCGAACCGACGCGCTCCCTACCGACATTTTAAGTCCCCCTATCATGCCTCGTATACAGAGACGCGTGCATAATACAGCGAGCGTGCTCCTTCTATCTAGGCTTCGTGCTTGGCTCAATGGTTCGATATTTCCAAATTGAGCCTTGGGAAGTTACTATCGGACCAAATATAAATTCAAAACTAGCTTGGTGCTTTAATTGAATCATAGAAAAATTTTTTTCAATGATAAAAAATATTAATTTTTTATGAAGAAAATCTAACGTTAAAAAATGCTTCAATTATTCATTATTTATAGGCACATTATCTTAAATAATAGTAAGAACATTTCGTAAAAAAAAATTATTGAATGAAATTATACTAAGTAGTTACTTTTCTATAAATTAAAAGTGACAATTTCTTAATTTAGATGTACTGAATTATGATCATGTATTTATTTTTGGTAATAGAAAATTTAATTATTTCGTTAAAATCAAATGAATTAAAAAAAATACATTTCATAACTGTATTCTGTCAACAAATTATATTATCTGAACTATACAAAATTTTTAGCAGTTATAAGTTCAATTTTAATTATGAAATATCATGTAATAAAGCAAAATGACTGAGTGATGTTTAAGTAACTAAAACTAATCTGTTAGTGTTACTACGAAGTGCAGCGAAGTCAGTACAGTTCGAGACTTTCACGCGGGTGACCCAGGTTCGATTCTCATCGTGAGCAAAGATTTTTTCAAGGTAATCTGGTGTGATCGCGAGATACGATAACATAAAGCTGATAATAAACCGTAAAATCACGAATACAATTAAAATCAAATTTAATTTTTTAATAATGTTTGCATTTTTTTTAGTCCTGGCAAATTAGTTCCCCAAGGCTTGGTCCGAGCCCTGGGCCATTTGTTTCCCAAGACTCGGCCCAAGCCTTGTGTTTTGGTTTCCCAAGGCTTGGGGACATAGTTATCATCCTAGGCTTGGACCGAGCTTTGGCCCAATGTTTAGCCAAGGCTCGTGCCAAGCCTTACCCAAGGCTGGAGACGCTTGGCCCAGGCTTGGTCCAAGCCTTGTCCAGTTGTTCTTTCCTACCTGGGTAAGACCTCTGTCAATAGATTTTAATCTATTAATACAAGATACGAAGACCTCTTGGTATTAAATATTTAATTGTTGTATTATTAAGAACACGACATTAAATTAATTAGGAATTTCAAACCGATAATGATTTTAACTGGGAATTTAGATTAAGAATTTTATGAATAAATTAGGAACTCGGATTTGGTAAATTGTTAAAGTATGGAATAAATGGATCCAGGCATTAAGTCGGATTTCATTTAATTTTGGGAAATTAATTTTTGTTAACTTGAAATAAAGTTGGAAAATTTTTTAATTTATAAAATCCGGAGTAATAATTAGTGGGTTTGGAAATAATAGTGTGGGTGGGTTTAGTGTTAAGTATGGTAGTGTTGCCTAGAGATTCATGGTATCCTCCTCTGCTTCCTGGGCACACTTAAAGTCCTTTGCATAGACGCCCAGGTCGGGGGTGCAACAGACATAAGTTAATTAAATATTGTGGGTGTGTTTGGAATAGAAAATATTATTGCAGTGTAGCCTAGGGATTCATGGTATCCTCCTCTACTTCCTGGGCGCACTTAATTTCGCGCACATAATTTCTGTTTCCTTCCTGACAATCTCTTACGACCCTGAGTCTTCACTCCATGTTCTGGGCCAGTTTCTGGATACTGTGGGAAAAATCCAGTGGCGCCTTATATAAATTTAGAGGCGACCAAGAGAGCGGTGGATCCCCGTTTCAATTGAAAATAAAGCTGCAACTTCATCTCACGAGCAGGAATTCGTAATTTTCTGTCCGCCGGGAAGTAATAATTGATTCCTGCCCGGCACAGTCACATTGGTCTGAAATTGTCTAGTTTCAGTTGGTTCAACAGGCATTGAAACTCGCATTTTCAATGCAGGTTATATGAAAATTTCTTTTTTTTATGTTCTGCAAAAATATTACCTGATTAAATAGTAAAACGGCGTGCCATACTTATTTTTAATTATCATGACACATAATAAAAATATTCTTTTTGTCATCAGCTCAACTCAGAATTTTAATTCGTTGATATATTATTATGTCCCTACATAATAATTATTCCTTAAAAAATTTAAGTATAAACATAAAATTAATCTATTATATTTTGATTATGTGTTAACATAAAATATGCATTTTTCTTTTTAGTTATTAATTTTAAGATCATTTTTTTCCTTCTATTAAATAGTAAAATGGCGTGCCATATTATAGTGATTGCACATTGAAAGTTACAATGGATATTCGCTAGAATGATGACATGGATAAAAGGTACAGGCGAATCCGATAGAATTTGGAATCTGTGCAAGTCAAAACAATACTCCAATTGAATTTCAAGTCTAGATCTCAAAATACAATTCTATAAAGTGCCCAGCGGAGCGGGCGAGTAACAGCTAGTCATGTAATATAATAAATGAAAATAATTTATAAAGATAATTTTTGTTTATAAGCAATCTTCATATCATATGACATTGCAAGTGGAAAAAATTAACTCAACAAAATATTTATTAAATATAATCATTAAAAAATGCTGCATCTAATTATATATTATTATATATTAATGAATATGAATTTGTAATTTACATTTGATTAGATATAATTATGTACATAGCTTTTCGTTTAATTATATACATGGTCCAAAACGGGTGACCCTGCAGACTATCCCTGGAACTTCCCGCTATGAACGAGCTCGAAACACTCGAGAAATTATCTATTTTGAAGTTTTGAGCTCTTCGAGCAAAGTGAAGCAGTTGTTGATACTAATAATTATAGTTTCTCATTGATTATGAAAGATTGCAGAGTTTTATTGTAAAGCATTTTAATGAAATATTCATTAATTGTCATATTAAGATTTTTATCCGGACATAAAATTTTACAAAACATGGGATGATGGATAATAGTTATTCTAGATACATATACGTAAAACAAGGAATTCTAAAAGACTAAAATCAAAACTGTAACTTGAAAGAAACGATACATTTATCGAGATCAAGTGGAGGCACGTGCATGAAATTGTATCCGTTTATCTCAACAATAGATTAATCGACGGTTAAGAACATTTTTTCAATTCATTTTTTTAATCACTAGAAATAATGTGCGCACAATTGAATGTAAGAATTACATATATTTTTCTGCTTACCATATATTCGACCCATCCTGTAACAAGTAAATTGCCTTTATATACATTTCATCTTAATTTTATTGTGAGATTATATCTAATAAGAGACTTCAGGTTTAAATTCATTTCGCCAATATAAGTGTTTTCTACAAGGCTATATGTAACATAATATATTTGTAAATTTTATCGAAATTCAGAGGATAAAAGATAAATGTCTCTTATTTTTATTTTGTGTAAGATGCTGCCTCTTAAGAGTCGTGCAATTTAAACAATTTAATAAGTAAGAATCATGTTAATAACATTTATTATCAACAAAATTTAATTATTTTCTTATTTTAGTTTTGCATCGTGTTTAATTGTTGCAAATTGTCATTAATAAAGCTGCAGATCAGAATAATTTATTTATCACTATCATATTACATGAATAGATTGTGTGAATAATCTATGGGTTCTCGGTTGATAATGGAAATAATAATAATGCTAGAGTTGATATTGAAATTAAATATTCAAACATTTTTTGGAGATTATAGCATGAGTACAAATTAGATAAATTTTTACTATTCACACTAATCATTAATTTTACATTTCATTCATAGAATCATTCGTTGAATTATTACTTGGTGCTGTTGAAGAAGTAGAACTTCGACTACTCAGTTGATTCGCAGCTCTAGTAAAAAAAAATTTGTTTTTCAGATTAATCATCAAAGTATTAAGGTTTTAAGAAATTAGCGTTTAAAAAATCTTGATTAATGTATAGAAAAAAAGGTTATTTTGACTGACGTAAAAATTTTCTTAGTTCAAAAATATTTCTAGGATAAAGACAAATATCTCGATTTGAGTAATTTATGATTTTTTTTTTTTTTTACTTTAAAAATTTCAATTTGCAAGTTTGAAAAATTTGAATTATGTAAAATTATTTTTCTTCTTCTAAATATGAATACATGTCTTTCAATTTATGAGATTGAATTTTTTTAAACAAGAAGTATTTTTCTTATTTCGAAACAAAAGAAAGTAACTCAAGTGCATCATACTCCGAACTGAGTTTATGGTCAATAGTGAATATATTTTATCGAAAATTTCTATATAGTCTAGTCGAGAAGAAAGTTTTCTGCGAAAAATCGTTAGAGTGCTCTTGAAAATATGGCGATTGGTGCATTAGATTCAGAATTTAATTCTGAG